TGTTTTTCTGTTTTCTATCCAAAAAACCGCTTAATTTTGATAAGAAAAATAAGTACAAAAATGAACTTATCAGGGAGATACTCTATTCTCAGGTTATTACAAACGTGAAGACCTTACACAAGAAGTCATGATTGATGGGTGGTTCCACATAGGTTTGGCCCTTCCTTTTTGCTTATGTTGAATATACCACACTGGTTGTGTTTTCTGTTTGAGTGTAGGCGTATATGAGTATATCACATATCTTTGGGTTAAGCCTCACTTTTTGATGACTCTTTCGGGGCGAGTTAGGCTCAATTTAACATGGTAACAAAAGCGTATGTAGTAGTGGTTTGCAGGATGTTAAACAAGTCCATGTTTTTGAAAAAAATCCCTTTTGGGTCGGTATGGGCCTATGCCTATTGTCCACCCAAGTTGCCCAGTCTGCTTTGGGCAGAGGAATTGTGTTGAGAGTATCACACACCAGTGGTTACTTGGTCTAAGTATACTCCCTCCCCAATGAAGTTCTCACTTTTCTTATTTAGGATGTCCTAAAATTAAGCTCCTATTTCTATAAATAGGATATTAATAATAGGAAATATCAATATTACTCTTATATTTTGCTCTCTTTCATATAAAGTAAATGTTTACGTGAAAAAACGGAATGTCAAATTAAAAAATTGTCTTGCATAAATGTGTGTTGGTCAAACTGGGATTTGTGGATGGAGGGAGTAGTGTATCAGTGTGTGATAAACATTCCTGTTGGGGATCCTTTTAGATTGAGAATTACACCTAATCCAATAGCTTCTAACAAGATTTTCTTTTGTTCCATTTAACATTCAATTCTCTCAGGGGATATTGGTGAGTGGCAACCAAACAGAAGCTTGAAAGTTATTGACCGCAAAAAGAATATTTTTCAAGCTCTTGCAAGGAGAATATGTTGCGGTAGAGAATTTGGAGAATATTTATGGCGAAATTTCAGTTATTGACATGGTAAGCTGCTTATGTTTCAGTTCAAGGTTTTCTGGACGATATTGTTTGATACCTTTTGCTTGAAGTACCACTGAGAACTTATTATGTGCTTTTTAAATGTGATAGAAACTGAATTCGTGTTTATCAAACTCAGCATCAACTTCTTTTGTGTACCAGATATGGATATATGGGAATAGCTTCGAGCATTTCCTCACATCTGTTGTCAATCCAAATAAGACATTGATTAAAAAATGGGCTGAACATAATGGCTTAGCTGGAACTTTGAATCCATATGTGAAAGTCCAAAAGCAAAGGAATATATATTTGGGGAGCTGACTAGGGTTGCAAAAAAAAGGTTTTAGTAATTTATTCTCTTAACTTCAATATATGTTCTTATGGTAGACTACAGATAGCAGAATTTGGAAACTTATTTTTATTATTACATAACCCTCACTCTTCCATTGCAGTTGAAAGGATTTGAGTTTATAAAATCTGTCCACCTTGATCCAGTGCCATTTGACATGGAACGTGACCTTCTTACACCAACATTTAAGAAGAAAAGGCCACAGATGCTGAAATACTATCAGGTAATTTCTCTTGATGGGATTCCTTTGTTGCAATTTTGTGAAGTCTTAACTTACAAAGCATTTCCATTCTCATCTCTTGAGCGCTTCCGAGTTCAACATGTTATCAAACATGCCTTCCGTTTAATTCAGTGATTACACGAGTTTATTGCCATGATAATATATAAAATCTACACAATGCTTATGTACACCAACTCGTAGAATTGCAAACAAGACTCTTCATTGTATGAAAAAGATATTATAGGAGGGATATAGATTGAATCCATGCGATTTAAACTATTCATGGATTTGGTTTGAGATTTTGGTCAAATGTATTTATTTAATCTTATTTTTCCTAAACCTTAATTGACACATAACGATCACTACTCATATGCACGTGGTTAATGAAAACACTATTGGACTGATATAATTGATTTTGTGCAGAATATCATTGACAACATGTACAAGAGTGCAAAATGAGGCCATGGCAATTAATTATCTCCATTTATTTATTTATTTATTTATTTATTTATTTATTTATTTATTTATTAATTTATTTATTTATTTATTTATTTATTTATTTATTTATTAATTTATTTATTTATTGAATTATTTATTTATTTATTTATTTATTTATTTATTTATTTATTTATTTATTTATTTATTTATTTATTTATTTATGCCATAGTTGAACTATATAGAATGTCATTATTAGCCAATCCGACATTCTTATCATGATAGAGAAAATACTTTAGAGAATAGAGAGTTTTCCATTGGTCAATCTTCAGACTTATTTTTTCATTTAACTGCAATAGCCAGAATAAATTATGGTTTTGCACTGCTGTCATAATGCAAGAGTTTTAGGTTTATGCTCATCCAATTTTCCCATTCCATCTAGCATTTTGGCTTTAAACAAAATTTATTAGAGTTTATACTTTATAGGAAGATACAAATGCTAATTTTTGTACTATTTAAGCTGCGACGAAAATAGAATTGCTGCTTTATATGAGGTGCATTTGAGAATTGAACTCGCATTGTGATGTACACCATCACACATAACATAAACTCTTTTTGTAAAAAGCTTTATAAAAACATAATGTTCTTTTGTGTCATCGGGACATGGTTTGTATCTCTATCCCCAGCTTAAAACTTATTAAGGTTGTAGATAGAATTTGGCAATGACCCAAGGGGCACATCATTAGGAGATATTTGGGAAGTTGGAAATTTCAATTTTTAATGGTTAAACAAAGATTTACTTATGCACATTCTTTTCATAATATATTCACATTTAGAGCTTGTTTGGTGACTTTGTTTTTTGGATTATCAGACTTATCAACCAACTTTTTAACCAAATACGTGAATTTTGATTTCTCGCGTTGAATTGTGTAATAATAAGAAAAAGTAAGGTTGAAGTTACTTTTGTGGTTATATTGACTAAAGTTACTGTAGATGACTATTTTAGCTATTTTTTCTTTATTTTATTAATAAAATATATTTTAATATAACCTTTTCATTAATTTGAGGAATCAACCAGTTTAGCCAAAATTTCATAATTTTTAACAGAATCAGCCGATTCAACTGATTTCAGTGTTACCGAATGGACTCTTATACAGAAAGTTGGAAAAGTTGTGAAGCGCACAACATGGCAGCATAATAAGTGCATAAAAGAGGAGACAAAAGTAGAAGGGTCTCTTAGAAAGACCTCAAAGAGGACCATAGAGTTTGGATATTAAGAGCTTCAAATTCTTAAGAGTCTTGTTAGTACACTTGTTGGTGAGTATCACTGAGTAGAGTATATGTGGTAAATCATTCCTTAAGATAAACTTGTTGGACGTCTCATAATTCATAGTACGTATAAAGATTTTCATTTTTATTTTAGAAAACAATTGACACTCTTAAAAGATAAACTAATCATTAAATATTAAAAACAAATACATGTATGACACTCTTAAATGACCTCATTATATTATATACTCATTAAAATTATTTCTCGAAATATATTCGAATCACCTGATTTAACACTATTGTCTAAATAATCGTGTCATTTTACGTCGAGAACTTTTAATCGAGACGAATGTAATTTTTTTGGGAAAAGTTTTTTAAGCGAGACGAATGTAGTGTATATATATATGGCGGATCAAACAAGACACATCGAAAAGAGTCAATAGACATATATTGGACCAGTTTGGACCAGATTAGGCTAAATCGTACTTAAATAGACCATACCAAATCAGATTAGAAAAATTCAGTTAAATTAAAAACATCCTTATTGATGTTATAATTATAAAGTAATACTTCCTTCGTCTCCTTTTAGTTGCAACAATCAACATTTCACGTTTGCCAACACACAACTTTGACCGTCATTATATTTAATTATGTATTAGTAAAATTAAAATAAAAATCAGATTATAAAACTTAGTAATGAGACGAATTTAACAATATTTTTCAAAAAAAAAAAATAATTCACATACATTAATAAATAAAATGTAGTCAAAGTAAAATACATGAATAGTGTATATATTCCAATGTTGCAATTAATGTGATACGGAGGATAGTACTTGTTGGGATATTGGGCCGCAGGCCCAATACCCGGATCCAAGGCCCAAGATATCCAGCCCGATAAACGGCCCCATAATCCAGAAGATGAACAGGCTCATGGAGAAATATGGACCGAACGAGGTTCAGAGCAAACAACGTACTTGGGCCCCATAATCCAACAGGGTCCACTACCTGTTCGGGTAACGGGTAGCCAACAAGTGGCAGGAGGAAGTTATTGCTAAAGTATGGCGGCAACAAGTTGAAGCATGAGTTTCCAAGTGACTAGATAAATCAACCAATCAACATGAAGCACCCCATACCCCCCATTAGTATAAATAGAAGGATTAATTTCATTGAAAGAGTTAGCATTTTGATACTCAAGCCTAGAATAGATTTATCTTTGTAGTTCTCGTATTAGCCATACTCCGACGTACTGATCGGGAGATTTCTGTGTAATCACCAGATTAATTAATACAAGTGCGCTTTTGAGTGTTTGATCATTCATATTTTATATTTTCTCTTTACAAGTGATTCTTGACCCATTTTCCTAATATATCCAAAGTTCGTGTTGAACTTTCGGATCAGCGGGATTAAACCTCAACAGTACTACATATCTCCTAATAAATTAACTTCTCGCAAATTAATATGTATACTCCATATAAAAAGTCGCACTTTTATATTCAAAAATAATAATTTTACCTTATTAATTTATGATCACTAAAAAGAAATTATACATGTAATATACATCCGTTCCATATGATATAGTGTAATGGAATATCATAAAATAATAATCTGTCACATTGCACCAAATTAATAGACTGAGAGAAATTTTAAAATGGTTAGTGGGTGGGTTGTGAATGTCAAACTACGGAGTACTACCAGCAATTTCAATCAAAATTTAAAAAGGTCAAATTTGTCTATTCAGGAACAGGGAGGAGAAGCAAGTTTGGAGTGTTTGGGGAAAACCTTGTAGAAAGCTACTGAAGCGACTCAAGGTCTCAAGCGAGTAGACAGACGGGCAGCGAGTCAGCGACGCAGCGTTCTTTTGCGACCGCCACTCCGCCACCGGCCTCCGTCTCTCTGCCAATCCGCCATTAGGCTCTATCGCTCTGCCGCTCTACCGCTCTGCCGCTCTACCGCTCTACCGCTTTACCGCTCTACCTCCCTACCGCTCTACCGCCTCTACGCATCTCACTTTCTCAACCTCTGCAGCCTCCAGGTTTCATTATTAATTTGTAACGTAATATATGTGAATATGTGATATTGTGATTGAGCGGTTGATTCAGTGATTTTAGCTATTTATTAGGGTCTTAGGGTTTAAGCCTACTAATTTAAGATGAAATAATGAAATTTAACAAATTGCATTTTTGACTCGATTTTCACTATGTGTCATCCGCAATCAGTCTCTCTGTGCTTTAGTACAGGGGTAAGACTGCGTACATCTGACATTCCGACCCCCTTGCTTCGGTGGGGAGCCTTTGCAGCACTGGGTTAATGATGATGATGAATGAAATTTAACTAATCAGGTTGTTATTTAATTATAATTTAATGTAATTAATTGATGAACTAATTAAACTATTTATTTTTAATAAATTGGTATAAATATATTTATACTTGTTAAGTTGTTAGTTAAAGATGACAAAGTTGGAAGAACTTCAGTGCCTGAGTGGGGAGGGCTTTGTAGAATTTTTAGTCTGCCTGACATCCATATGAGGTGAAGTTTGTTGGTTTGAAGCATTTGATGGGAAATATAACTAAAAAACGTTTCAAGGATGTGGATTGTTAAGTATATGCTGTTTCTGATATTTTTATAATTGATGACACTGTTTTGCCTGTGTAACTTAGCAATCCTATTCAGAAAGACATGGAAAGTTTTTAGTTAGGGAAGACTTTGGGTTTTATTATTATTTTCTTTATGAACTTGTAATTTAACACAAATTATCAGTATTTGGTACTGTTATCATTTTTATTTATGTTTTATTTCTATTTGTGTTAGAAAGGAAGACCCAAATTTTGTTATTGCACAGGGTCTCCGTTTTCTCAGGACCAGCCCTGACTGAGTTCACCTTTGGCGGTCGGGAGAAAAAAGAATGGCGGACGAGGACTATGAGATGGATGGAGGGTACTCATCAGTTAGATTCCTTTTTTTGCTATCGCGATTTTAAGGATTTCTTCATTATTTGCTACTCTAACTGTTTCTGAATGTTAGGGTTTTTATACATATTAAATTAAATTTCCTAATTCCTATACCCTTCGGAAACGATTATTGATTCTACTTTAGTCCGATGTGAGCTCCATGGATTGAAATAAAATCAATCTACGTAAGCGAAACACAATAGTTCGCACTCGGAAGTAGGGACTGTGAAGCATAGGGTGGATGAGATGTATGCCGTCCTTAGGTTTACCTCTTAGAAAGAACAGCTGTTGATGTGAAAATCCTAGCTGAAGGAGAGAAATTGGATTTTTTCGTAGGCATTGCTGCTTTTAAAATTTTCAGTAGTGATGTTGCTTCCCTGAATTAATGTAGTAAATATAGTGGGCTTATACCCAATGTTCAAAATTGCGTATTGCGTTTACGAGGCGGTTTTGGGGTATTGCGTATTGCGTAAGCCTCATGGTGCATTGAGGCGTAAAAATGAGGTGTAAATCTTTATTTGTACGGAATTTGTGTATTTAATTTTTTTGAAATAATAAGAAGTAAATATTAATCCAAAACAACAAATTTCATAAACAACTCAACAATAATGTCATAAAGTAATGGAACTTGTGAGTTCAAACATGACATCATACAAATCACTTAAGGTAACATTCTTAGTTTATTAGATTAATGAATGACAGAGTGAGTCATAAATCCAAAATATGATTATCAACATACTTCCTCCGTTTCTTAAAAGTTGCAACATTAGGATTTTTACACTATTCACACATCGTACTTTGACCATGATTTTTTATTAATATATAAGATCAAATTATTATGCATAAAATATTATTAAATTTCTATTGATGTGAATTTTCAAAATATTAACTTTTTATAATTTTTACTAATACGTAATTAGATATAATTACGGTCAAAGTTGCACGTTGGCAAACGTGAAAGTCAAACTGTTGCAACTATTAAAGAACGGAGGAAGTATATCTTAATGTTTCTATATATATATATATATATATATATATATTACTCCCTCCGTCCCCCTATTATTGTCTCATTTCCTATTCACTTGGTCAACACAAATAACTCTTAATCTCTTACTTTATTTATCAAATTTTTATCAAATTTGATTCTGTTTTTTGTGACTTTGTAAACCTTTTAATGTAGTTTTTGAATATGCAATTTTTTTCTCCTAAAAATAAATCTAGTGCGGACAGGGATCTGTTTGCTTTATCGTCAGTCAAGCATCGTAAACCGCAATGGGACAATAACAGGGGGACGGAGGTAGTAAAAAATAATTAAATTTAAAATTACACAATTAAATTTGCCTGCAATTTAAAGAAACTTTGGACATACCAGAAATATAAACTTAAGACATACCGGAAACTTACCAACAAAAGCATGACATGTAAAGAAAAGCATTAATTGAACAAAAGACCTGATGATTTCCACATAAACAAAGAAGTTGATTAAATATAAAGTTTTATAAACCTACGAGTGAGACGTTGGATAACTTGCGGGAGTTAGCAACGTGCATCAGAGCTACCTTGCCGGAGTCGATGGCAAGACAATCGACAAGTGTGGCGGAGTGGTTGGCGAGACACAAAGACAAATACTACAGGTGAGAGGGGAGAGATAGAGCAGGAGACCGGGGGGAGCAGATTTGTTCGATTATTGACGTTCTTCTATTGCGTATGATTTCGCCTCGCCCTATTTCGCCGCCTTAGAATGTACGCCTCTCCCCACAAGGCGTATGCCTTTCTAGTTTCTATGGCATCATTTAGGATACGCCTTTTACCGCATTTTGGTCTAAAATTAGCAAGGCGCACCTCAAGGTGAGATACTATTGCGCAATTTGCTTATACCCGAGATTCACTAACCTCACTCAAAGCACTGAAATATGCATATATATATTTATGGTGCGTTGCTAAGGCTCTTAATATGAGTTGTAGTTACTTTGCTTGGTATGCATGAGCCATTACTTTTTGTTTAGTTGTTTCATTTTTTCAACATTATGCTTCTTCAAGGATTTATGATACCTTTGTGGTACTTAATACTTATGAATTGTCAATGCATGTGTTTCAGATATGAGGATGAGCCAGTTGAGCCTGAGATTGAGGTAACCTGGTTTTGGGCATTGTGCTAAATTTAGTTTTCTTTTGCGTAACACTAACATGAACTAGTCCCAGTTTTTGAAGTTTTGTATCATTGTGTGAGTTTTTTACAGGAAGGAATTGAGGCAGAGGAGGATGCCAATAATGAGGACCTACCTGATGCCATAATAGGCGAGGGTGAAGACAAACCTGAAGAGGTTGCTGTGGAAAGGCCTAGGAAAACATCAAAGTACATGACAAAATATGAAAGAGCAAGAATTTTGGGTACTCGAGCTCTTCAGATCAGCATGAATGCTCCTGTGATGGTTGATTTGGAGGGTGAAAGCGATCCCCTTGAGGTAATCATCTTAGATGAATCTTTTATACTTCCACAGGTACTTCATTCTATGGGACTGTTCATTTGCATTGAATATACTTGGCTGAAGTGGCATGGACGCCTGGTCGGGTCTAAACTTATGTTCTTATTTCTTCTAGTTTGTTTTAGCCTAGTGAGGTTGAATATTTTGTGTATTTTAGTACCATTTGGTGCTGTTTTAGTCTTGTTAAGTCGGAGGACTAAAGTAAGTTTAAGTGAAGGGGTTCTAGTTTTGCACATGAAGATTTTGTTTCATCCTATTTTGAATTCTCATTTTCAGTTACGTGAACAAATTATCGATGATGAGAATGTTAAAAGAAATTAACAAATATAGATAACCAAACAAACATACTCAATTTGTCGTACACACAAGTATGGTCTTGGGAAGGTGAAATGAAATTTGAGCATAACTTTACCCCTAGGAGTAGCGAAGCTCTTTCCTGTGATGACCTCCTGCTAAGGGAAATTTTGAGAAGTCATGGAAGATGATACAAATGTGAAAGCATAAATGTTCTGTAGACTTTTCAAATTACGGAAAAAACATTCTCAAAGGTGAAGGGTAGTGTGAATAGTATGGTTAAAATTGTTTGGCCAGGCAAGCAATAAAGTATCATAAAATAGCTTCACACCAGCAGTACAACAAAAACTAAGTTAGTAAGCAAATAGTATTAAGCAATAGAGAAAAACTGATGATAGGTAACACCTCAATCCAGACACAAAATCGGAAGATTTATGTATACTCCCTCCGTATTTAAAAGATTGCTACATATAGCTTTGGCACATGATTTCAGGAGGAAAGTAGTAGGGGTAATGAATAGTGTAGAAAAAACAGGAGAGGAGGCGTAAAAGTATGAAAGAGGATAAAAATTAGAAAAAGTATGAGCAATTGAGTATTTTTAAAGGGAAAGCTTACCAAAAGTGGGAAGTGTAGCAAATTTTTAAATACACCTCAAAAAATAAAGTGTAGCAAACTTTAAAATACGGAGGGTGTAGTAAGTATGGAATTCAGAGAATAGCTCAGCAATGCCACCCAGGCCAGTGAAAAAATGACAATTTTGTATAAAAACTGCCATTTTTTCTCTGAAAATGCCATGAAGATGGCATTTTTACTCTTTGAAAATGTAAAAAATTTTCTTGAGAAATGCCATCAAGATGGCATTTCCAACACTTGTTGCTTTTTTCCGGTGATCGGAGCTGGGGGGGAGTGCTCCTAGCAAACAGATTTACTTCCTGAAGCCAATGTTTGCATCCATTAAAACCATGAGGCAAAGCAACAGCACACTGATTCCTTTCTTGGGTGATGGGAAATAACAGATGTTTAAGATTTTGGTCATTGCTTGAGAACATTTGCACACATCGCACACTTTTCTCTACAACTTAGGACCAGCAACTTACATTCGTCTCACTGACTTTCTGCCAACCCTTGGTGTACTCACCACCTCTTATAATTCTGTAAGCAAAGAATGCTGCCATTGAAACACTGTTCAGGACAAAACGGTTTGATCACCCAGCAGGTACATAGAAATTATGCAGCAACCCTTTCATCAAAGGCTTAATAAAGCCTCCGTACAGGAAAAATTAGATCAACTACATTCATAGTTCATCTTCAATCTAGACTGTCATGTACTCACTCTGCTCCTTATTACTTCCAGAAGTGCCCATATTTTGTGCTTTTGTGTTCCCTTTTATCAGTCCATTTAGCAAATATACGGTATACCATTTACGTAGTATTATTCTCCAATCCTGCCCATCACATTTAATTAATGTACTACCACTACCGCAAGTTGCATTTGGACCTTCTAATTAAAGGGTGGATACTACTCAAGAACCCAACTTTTAAGGTCCCTAGTTTATGAGTACTCCACAATCTTGGAAGTAGACAAGGGTTATTCATTGGGATCATGAGAAGTCATCCATATAGTCATATACAGTGTGCTAATATGAAAATACAGTGCACCAATCTAGTAAGTAATAAATAAGGGCATATTAGATAGGATGAGATGCGAGTTTTAGATATAGTGGACAATTAGTTTAGAACAGAGGGAGCTACATAATAATTATCATTATTAGTATTATTATAATCATGTAAGCAAAAATAATTATACCTGATAAGGAACATAAAAAGTTTCCAATAGTTGATCTCTGCAAAGCATAGGTAAAATATAAAAGGTAAGTTGTTGAGGAGAATGTGATATGCCCTCAAAACTCAAAACGATATCCACATTGTAAATTTACAAGTAAACAAAGAAAGGAGGGAAGCAAAGAAAAACACTACCTGAAGCTGCAATCTGAACTGTGAGAAATAAGATGGTAGCAGTTCCTGCAAAATTATTTCAGTGTTCCTGTGACAATGCTGCTTTTGCACATGCCAGATACTACCTTCGTCCCAAAAAGGTTCGCCATATTGACTTTTCTTGGTCAATGATGGCAAACTTTGGACAATGGTTTTATTTATTATATTTGTATATAATTTGTAAATTTTATACTCCTAAGAAAATATTTTGAATAAGAAACATTTTGATATAATTTTCATATTCAAAATTATTTTGTATTAAAAAACATCATTGGTCAAAGTTGATTGCCATTGACCAAGAAAAGTTAATTTAGCGAATCTTTTCAGGACGTAGGGAGTGATTTATTTGGGTAAAATATACTTCCTCTGCCCCCTATCTTTGTCTCATTTTACCTTTTTCGCGAGTGCCTCTAAGCCTGTCTCGTACCATATTTGGTAATATTTGGGTGATTGCAATTCATTCTCTTTATTCACACTTTACCAATTCATCAATATCATCCACACAATTTCACCTTTCTTAATTACCACATCACTTCATCTTATCCCAATCTTAGGGATGGAGGTAGTAAGTTTAACGTTTCAATCAAACTCTGCTATATAAATATTGTAATTTGTAAACATTTGTACAAAACTACAAATTTTAAGTTACTGATAGCATATATGGACTAGGCCTCTCAATGAGTTCAAGTTTGCCAAGTTTCCCATATCGGATGATTACCAGATCTAAAGAGCTGTTTGGTAATCAAGTTTGGGGAATGGGAATGAAATGATAGTCTGTGTCTGTTAAGTACTCCACCTTAGGTTTAGTTCCTGGCTTTTGCACTTGAGAGTTGAAACTCATTCCCTCTTTCTTTTGAAACTCCACCTTAGGTTTAGTTCCTGACTTTTGCACTTGAGAGTTGAAACTCATTCCCTCTTTCTTTTGAACTCATTCTCATTCCCTTTAGTATACCAGCCACATCCTAACTAATTGTAATGAGAGTAATGTAATTCTATACCTAGCTTAAGATCCACCAATGACATTGTGAATCAAGAAGACAAGACCTAAGATTGACATTTCATTTGACCCACATCAATACATATCTATCAACAAAGGGAAAACCACTCCTTAATAATTTCACATCCTATCAGAAATTCCTTAAGCAAACGACAATGGAAGAAGCCTTAAACAGTTAATACAGCATAAAAGAGAAATAGAGAATAGAAAGAGAAAAGGTTGGGACTCTTCAAGAGGTCCTGCTCTCTCAGCTCAAATTCGCACTAAATTTCTGCCTCCCCTCTTATTTCTCCCTGGGCCCTGCATTTCTATTTATACTACCCATACAATTATTATTATCAATTTGTTATTATTATTAGCCCAATTACTATCAACAAGCACACCTTATTCCGGCCAGAGCTCCCCTAAAACCAGTCGGACAGTTTTCTGAAAGGTTTAAATTGAGCTATAATCACAATATGGTTGATTGAAAATTGGGTTCTGCACCTTGTACTTACAAGTTACTAGGAAGGGTCCTGAGCAAGGTTTCCCCCAGGCAGTAAATAAGCAATTGTACTACCTGAGTATTGAGCACTCAAACACAATGCACCCCTAAATTAAGGCCAAGGAGCCCTCACCCACCAACAGCCTACAATGGTTGCTCTCAAGTCTCAACCCCATAGGGAATCTGCTTCCATAATATTTCATCTCCAAGAACCCCTATCAGATTGGGTAAATGCTTAAATGGTTATTTCATCTCCCAGAACCCCAATCAGATTGGGTAAATGCGTAAATGGTTAACTGTATTCAAATGATCTCAATGCAAAAGAAAGTTAATGAACATGAAGGCTGATGTGAATCATTTGGTTTTGGTTTGTGGTTTGCATTTTTCCTTATGAGTGATATCAACGAATATACGGACCTGAGCATATGGCGAGGGAATTAATAAAAATAATATTTAATATTTTAATGAGCCGTAATAAGGAAGTGGGCTGGGCCATGTTATTATTAAATAAAAAATAGTAAGATTGAGGGGAAGCCTCATTGGAAAAGAATAAATAGAAGAAATAGAATAGGGAGGGGTAGTCTGGATTTGAGTAAGAATTGGGATCTGGGAGAGTTGAGGCCTCTCGAAGCGCCTCGTGTGTACTCTTTACATCAATAATAGTAATCAATTTACCGTCATAAAATTAGGGTTGTAACAAAGAAAACACAGTTAGAGTTTCCTTTTTCCTTTTTGTTGAGGCGGCTACTGCCAACTTTGGGCAGTAGAGATATATTTAGTGCTTTATTTCCTTTATCATTGTTTATCACGAACATACTTTGCTGAATTGCCTTATGCCTGATTATGATTTTCTACATTTTTATTTTGGAAGTTAGAACTGAAATTTATTGCTAAATGGTGGTATGTGTCTAGTATATTTATTCAGCCTTGATATTTTCATCCCATAGATTGCTATGAAAGAGCTGCGAGAGAGGAAGATTCCCTTCACAATTCGTCGGTATCTCCCAGATGGAAGGTCAGGCTCTTGCATATTTACAAATTTTCCTACATATGTATAGACATGAGTGTGGCCGTGTGCACAGGGAGGGGCATGCCCGGAGCATAGGCTGACACGTGTTCATTAAAAGTCTCTTTTTTTGTTGTAAAAATTTAGGAAAAATTGAAAATAATAATCCCAACTATTGCCGATCCGTTAACAATAATGCCAACTATTAATTATTTTTTTATAATCCCAACTATATGGACCGTCCGCTAATAATGGTCCATGACCGCATATTACCTACTCTAACAAGTGAATTTTTAATAGAAATTAACTGTAAAAATTAAAATTTGGGATTATTTATAGGGATTATCTTCCAAATCTATTTTGAAACTATGAATTTATTTATAGTCGGTCACGTCGGACCATTATTGATGGAAGGTCCCTAAAGTTGGGATTATTCTGAAATAATCGATAGTTGTGATTATCACGAGCGAACGGCCAATTGTTAGTATTATTACAATCAATTTTTCCAAAAATTTATACACTACATAAACACACAAAGACATGCATGGATATGCATACATATACATTTTTGTTTACATACAGACACATACCCATAGATCCACCCATACATATTAATTTTGAATGGTTGATCTTTAGTTCATGAGTTTTACAATCTACAGTTATGAAGATTGGGGGGTTGATGAACTCATCGTTGAAGACTCGTGGAAGAGACAAGTCGGGGGAGACTAAGTAACCGTTTCTAAATTGCTGTAGTGCCTTCGATAGAATGATGAGGCATTATTGAACCTCTCTGCTCTCCTTATCGTGGTGATAGCTTCATTAGCAAAAAAAGAATTATTAGCAGAAAAAGTGTGCTTTTTGTACTTTACTCTAATTTCATAACATGGTGGTTGGTACCTAAGATGGGGCTGGTCTCTAGTCCTGGATGGGAACCGGCCTGGTGGGTGGCGATTTTAGGACCAGTTAGGGGTGGACCCGTTCTGAAATCGGGTTTGACACTGTTTGGGACCCGTTCTGAAACCGGGTTTCATCACCTTTTGACTTGATCTTCAATTGAAATCACTCTTTTTACCCTTTTCTCAATAAGGGTGTAATAATGTCACAAATTAACTCATCCATTATGAAAAGCTTATTGAAAATGCAAAATGTTACATTTATTTTCTTCTAATTCTCATTAAATAAATAAGAAAACACCCAAAAAAAAATTAAATCGGAACAGGCCCGGAACCGGCAGACTCCCGGGCCAGTCTCAGGCCTTACCCAAAAGTCAAAACCATCCAAGCCCAGCTGGGCCCAGACCCAAACCAGAACTGGACCGGGCCTGGTCCACCCCTTAGTCGATCAATCAGATTCATCTTACATGAAATCCTCCTAAGGAATACACAGTGGAGAGGGATGGGGAGTGAATTGGGCATATATTATTGCCTTCGTATATTCTTTTGAGGTTGTGAATAAAGTAAATGTGAAAAGTGAGGAAAAATCTCGACTCGAAAAGGACTAGAAATCATCAACATATTCAAAAGATTTTAAAAGTGAATATCCTAACTAGGACTAAAATTTGTTAGAAGTTCAACAATGGGACTTCCAATGTTTCGTTACTTCCGTAAGACTTCCCTGCGTTCCAAACCTGGTGCCCATCACAGTCCTCTGGCACAGGACTACAAACATCTTCGATGTCACCTCCACTACCACCATCGGCGTAGGCGTTGCCACCACCACCATCATCGGCGTCTTTGGCGTAAGCACCGGTGCCACCACATGCGCCGCTAGCCTCTCAATCTCTGACCTCATCCACCTTTGTCGTTGGTCGCCACCATCTTCGGCATCATCGTTGCTACATCTGACAATATTGCTGCCTCATCCAACACCATTGTGATTCATTTGCGTGAACTTTGCGAACTCCGGCGCTGCCGGTGCCACCGCCACCGCCTCCACTGCATATCTCAGATCTGAACACCCATATCTGGTATGATAATTACTCAAGTCCCATCTCTTAGTTGAAATGCCATCTTAGTGACATTATTGCCACACTGACTTAAATAGGATGACATTTTCATATTAAAGAACATGACACTAATGTCTTTTTGGAAGAGTAGTATTGTCATCTTTGTCACGTTAATACCATAAACATGACATTTTTGAAGTGAAAATTTCAGATTCAAAGTAGCACAATTATAGAGGTATTCTCATAAAAATGACATATTTCTGAAATCATTTTTCCATTATATGGTTTTTAGGGGGGGGGGATAATTTTAATTATGCCATTTTTAAATTTATAAGTAATAAAAAATAAGCAAACGAAAATCAAACTACATATAAATAATCTCGAATTAAATAAAAAAATTGACAATAAAAATAGAGATGATGGAGGAAGAAGGAGGAGGAAGAGAAGGAGGAGGAGGAGAAGAAGAAGTCATACCTGGCCGTTGCTCACTGGTGGATGCCGCCGCTCGTCACCGCCCGCCGGTCACTGGTGGCCAAAAATGGAGAGAAATTCCTCATCCAAACCTCTAAAATTCATCGGAGATAAGAGAAATCGAGATCGGAAAAATAGAACTGAAGTTATTATGAAAGAAAAGAGGACAAAAGATAAGAAGGGGCCGGGAGTTGGATTTATAGGGAACGATTGTAGTTACATAGAGGAGATGGGTGAGGACTGAGGAGAGAGGAAAGACGCCGGGAGGAAAGAAAAGAAAAGTTTGATCGTAAAAGCTGATACGTAAAAAACGATTGAGGGGAGAGGGTATAATAGGAACACTAACTAAATTAGTTATATTTGGAGAATAAATTAAAGATAACTTCTATTTTGGAATTTTGTTAATGTTTTGGTCCTATTTAGATCAATTACTTATTTTAAAACAATTTCATTAAGATTTATTTTAACATTAAAGTACCAGAGAAATTCTCATAGTTTATCCTTAGCCACCTCACTCAATTCAGCTATCTTGATTTGAGTTATGCAAACTTGTATTGTAGACAAACCTAACAACCTCTAGATTTTTACTCAAATTCCGCACCTCACTCTCCGTTGTCTGATCTCTTAAACATCAGATTATCAAAAGATAAGAAGAATTAGAATGAAGATTATTCATGAGGATCATACAATGAGGATCACATTATAGGAGTTCTATATTATATGAATATATGTTATTATTTCTTTTTAATGGCCATTAATTAACATGTAAAAATTTCAAAATGCCAATTCGAATACTAGTTGATATCTATTAAGATCCGATTTTCCATCCTAAAAGGTCAACCTAATAGGAGGAGTAACCCAAAGCCTTACGACCAGACACTTCGTCTGGATCGTGTCATCACTCATTTTTTCATCAGTTTGTCATGGTCATTTTTAATTGTGTCATCATTTTTCATAGGGGGACCACATCATGGATCGATTTGACTCTGATACCATGTTAAGACACGAGGTTTCATCCTAAAAGGTGAACCTAATAGGAAGAGTACCTCAAAGTCTTATACAGAGTATATTTTATTGTTTTAAGAGATATCCGATGTGAGACAACAACAATATCTATAAACTCTTTTCAAGTCCAATATTAACACACACGCACACAACATACGTACAGAAAGGGGGCTAATGTACGTAATTGAAAGATAGACAACAGAAAATTTGTTTGCGGTTTCTCATATATGAAATCGAACATTTGTGATATAAAAAATGATTCCCCAAATTAGGAAACATAAAAAAGAGGTTTGCAATACTACAAAATAGTAAACTAGGAAACATATGAAAAAGAAAGAAATGAAGAATTCGAAAAATAGTAATGAAGAATTTGAAAAAGGGAAGCAAATGTAAACATGCCCAAAGATTCTTTAAAAGTTTTAATAGAATATCACCATATTCTGAAGTACTTAAAAGCCACTCAAAGTCCATATTATATTACACGTGATTAAATACACCACTATAAATAATGATCATTGGTCACTATAAAAAAATTTGTGATCAATGTGACACTTCATTTAATAGATTTGCATGGCCGATAATCTCACGTCTATAGAATTTCTCCAATAAAGAAAGAATATAGTCAGTGACCTCTAGGCCAAGTGTATGAGAGTTGAGATTGAGAGAATATTTTTTTCTTTTTATTAAGAACCCAAGGATACGGCTGAAACGAACAAGTTAGGGCACAAATTTCTCCGTATAGAATGAATGTAGAACATGTCTTGTACTCTTGTAGATTATCACGTTCAACATCATGTAAATTGAAGTTATAATAATATGTGCACTAGCTAATTAAGTCTACACACAATGGCAATGTAGTGAAGTCTCATTAAATGTTCTTTATTTTCAAGTAAATTAATTATTAAAGTTGCAATGTAGGAGTAACTCGTTGTGAATTGTGATAGATATTGAAATTTTATTACCATATTTTGACATCATTTTACATTTGACACTATTAGAGCAACTCCAGCGCTCGGCCGTCTAGTCTATTTAAAATTTGCCACATCATAAAATTATGCACTACGAATGTATTAACCCGTCCAATGCATCTAGTCTTTGATTTGGTTTTGCTGAGCTGAAAAAATAAAACAGAACACTGTGGTCTGTGGAGAACCTTTCCGAGTGTAGAAAGCCTCTGAGACGTGCTGACTCGTCAAATCCAGGGAAAAAAGGCGCGGTCATAAAAAAAAAGAGGGAATCAAAATAAATCAAGGAAAAGAAAAGGCGTGGTTATAAAAAAATAGAGGGAATCAAAATTATTTTATACGCTTTACCGGCATGTATATAAACATTCCTTTTTTGCAGAAGTTTTTCTCCACATAAATGAAGTGTAATCTGCTCGAAGGTCGGTGATTCAGGTATGCCACTTTTTCCCACTTTAACTATTTCATCGAGAAAGAAATGAATTCATAGTAATTGGAGCAGTAGGTTTTTTTTTACCTGCTCTTGATTTGTTGTTCCACTCTTGATTATTTCAAATTAAATTTAAGTGCGATAGGGTGAAATAGATCTGATGGAAGAATCAATGAGTTATGTTTAATATTAATCGGTACTTAGCGGTAGCAAAATATATACTCCGTATAAGGGAAGCACCACATAAATTCTCCGTAGAATATGTTTAGAGCCCGTTTAAGATTAGGTTTGCTTGAGAAGGAAGTCCCTTTTGTCCTATTGCAATCTCAAACGACTTTAGTGTTCTTAAAACTGAATAATTGTACCTGATATTCAGATAATATTACTCAAATCATCAACATAGAACTGTTTGATGAGTTATGTTGATTGTTTAATTATTTTGTTTTGCTTCCTTTGACATATGAGTGGGTGAATCTATTTTGAGTTTTAGGCCAAATTAAAGAGAATGATGAAAAGGATTTATGAGATTATTCTCAATGAGTAGGTTTGACTTAATCACCCATATTGATAAATACTTTTTGCTCTATCAGTGTGCTATTGTATATTTTATCCAAATATCTTATCTTCATACTTGGTGAATTGTTTTCCATGGAGGCTGTTAAGGAATCCGAAGAGTTTATCAGTGATATTTTTGGGGTTAAATTTTTTAGGCAGAAGTATATGGAAATATCCTTGTTGACAGCTACTGTGCACTTTTGAACAACTATTGTGCTACTAGTTTTTTAATGAACGTGGAAAAATATCATTCTTTTACGGAGTATAAAAGTTTGCTTTTTCATTTCTGCAGCTATATTTTATTTCATTTAGATTCTTTGTGCAGCTACATTAATGTTGTTTTTCATTTCTGTGTGATTCTAACTTGCTTAATGTTTGCTTTTCATTTCTGCTGCTAGATATGCAAATTAAAAGGGAACCTGATTGTTCAAAGTACAACTTTGATGTATTACGAATGTTCTGAAATCCTTTAGGAGGCAAAAATACATATTTTGATTGTTTTGTTGATAATATATATATACAATTTCGACATGGAACATGGATCTGATCAGCTTTCTAGCTCCCGACATCCTAATATTTTTAATCTTTCTGCTCAAACTCAGAACCAGTTTACATCAATAAGCCCTCACTTGCACCCTTCATATCAATTTAATACAATGAGTGGTTCTTGTCCTCCTTATACTACCCTTTCTTATGGAACTCCTTTCACATTCCAAAATCTTTTGAACACTCCTATTTTCCCAAGTGGAGCCACATAGACTCAAACTGCACGTGGAACAGGGAGCTACC